TAATTGAAGACACCCCATATGTTTTACTATATCAAGTTGATATGATACATATAGTATATATAGTACTTATGTAACTAGATATAAATCACCAACTCGCTCTTAAAATTGGTGGAAGGTACACGGCATGGGGTATCTGCGTTCACTTTTTACGGTAAAACCTGCGATTATTGGATATAATATGATATGAATAGGGTAAAACTAGAGATGGGCAAATCGAAAAATTTTGAATCTACTGTGCAGCCTGCACAGGCCCGCATTATGGTAGTTTTCTGCTAACGCGGGCCAGAGTTGTTAAAATATTCCGAATTTCCGAAACGTTCCGCCTGCACAGTGGCACATCTCTAAGTAAAACCTGCTAATAAACAAAAGCTGCTCTAAATTTCTCTAAAACTTTGAGCAAAGATATCTTGATAACAACCTAACCAAATTCAATGAAATTTTTTTTTCATTTGAATTCTATGAATTTAAAGAATTCAGATAAAAAAATTTTCATCGAATTTGGTCAGATGGTTACCGAGATATCTTCTTAGAAAAAAATCAGAACGTCTATCAAAATTAGAAGCTGCATCAAATTTTTGAGCGAAGATATCTCGGCAACCATCTGACCAAATTCGATGAAAATTTTTTTATTTGAATTCTATAAATTCATAAAAAACTTCAAATAAAAAAATTTCGTTGAATTTGGTTAGGTGGTAATTGAGATATCTTTGCTCAAAGATTTTAAAAAAAAATTTAGAGCAGCTTAGTTTATTAGTAGGTTTCACCCTATTTTTATATATAATCGCAGGTTTTACCTTACATCTCTGATTTTACAATCAACGAATTTTACTAGCTGGTGACTCAGATTTCATCCTGTCAATTATTTTTATTATATTGGCATTGCTTCACGAAAAACCGTGTTTGTTTTGATCTCGCGTTACGCTTGATCCCGTAGTCTGCCTTTAAAGGTAGGGCGTACAAAAATAGTAACCATATGAGAAAGTTATTAAGATAATTTTTGTACAACTTTATAATAGCCGGTTTTAAGTCATATGTGAATCCAATGACTAATAATTCAAGCATATCGCAAATCTTTAAAAACTTGTTTTTCTGGTTTGAGTGAATAACATTTATCGTTATCGTGAAAAGCAATGATGAGATAAAAATCGTAAATATTTGTCGTACAACTTCAAAAGGTTGTACATAGATGTTTAGAGACAGTACGAAAGCGGGAAGTACACCCTATTTGCGCCTCAAATATTTCAAATCTTTTGTATAAATAAGAGCGTTATATCAGAACCAAGCAGAAGTAGATGCAAAATCAAGAGCACTCACAGTGCAGCGCAGCACGAATATAAGACGCCCTCAAATCTGTGAAACCTTCATTTCCTTATACAGGTTCTATTTTTCTAACGAAAAAAGCAGGAATGTTCATTTGTGTAGCACAAGTTTGAAATTTTCGCTATTGTTAATAACTATAATACATTGTTACACAATCACATAATCACGATCAAAATTGGGTAAGATCAAATTATACGTAGCGGTGATTTAAAACATGATCGTATTACATACTTCTTTAAATGGACAAATTTACCGATCATCTCTTTAATACTCGACTCTTAATTTAAGCATTTAATACATTTTTTCTATTAGAAATTATTTAGCGTTATTTAATGATAATATATGTCGAATCTCTTGCGAAATTTGTGGAAAAATGCCTATTGTTCATGAATTAATGAAATCATTAACCTTATTATTATTATTGGTCTTTATATTGTCCGATATTATACTTTTTATAACCTATGAAGATGAATTGTTGCAAAGAATGTTAATTCCACAAACAACTGTACATATACAATCAAGTTCGAAAAAGGCAAATATACTATTTTTATTTCATGCAAATTTCTATCACAAACAATAAACATTCAATTTCATCTCTTTAGGAGCCCGTTACTGAGCAGATTTCTTCTGATGATTATTCGGATGATGATAACTCAGATAATGATTTAGTTACAAATGATTCAGATAAGAATTTCTATTTCAGAGAAATTGAAACCAACTTTCTCTCGGATTCGGAAGTAAACAAAAAATATTGTAAAAAAGAAACAAATTGCAGATTTTTATTCATGTATTACCATTCAGGACAAGAATCAAAAGCCAATATACACTTAAAAACATTATCCTATATAGCCGGTATCCTCGACCGGACTATGGTTTTGACAAATGTTGGACGTTCACGTATTGAATCGTGTAATCAACTTCCCTTCGAATTTTATTATAATTTAAATGCGTTACGAAAACTTTTTCCAAACGTCAATTTTATCTCTCAGTGGGAATTTGAAAGTTGGTCTCGAAATAGATTTGAAAAAACCAAGCATTCAACATTTACACTTTTCTCATGGTGATTCATTAATTCCGCTATTAGAACATGTCGATCCAATTATTGAACCAGTAACACACGTCAGTTGTTTTAATAAGTTTGATATAAAATTTGACGACTCAACTATATTCCAACGAATTTTAATTAATTCTGAATTTTTATCACAAGTTAATGATGGGAATGATTCCTCAACTTTATTGATTAAGAATTTAATGGATTCAGATGCAGAAGTTTTGTTGATAAAAGATGATATTGGCAAAGAAATACTTACTCAAACGCATTCTGCTATACCATATGCAAATCATATTATTCAAGAAGCTTTGAGAGTTAAAGTTGCGCTGAAATCGTATGTTGCTGTATATTGGGATTTTGTTGGAGTAGATCCAGAAAATTTACCAAAGTGCGCAGAACAGCTCAAGGATACTTTGCAATACATTCAAGAAATTCATGGAATTCATAATGTTTATTTATCAACAAATTATCCAATGTCTATAGAGTCTAATGATTCATCTTCACAATTAACCAAATATTACAATCAGGCCATGACAGTTTTAAATTCAACAACGAATGTTAATATTAGTTCTTGGGTAACATTTGATGCATTTGGTAAACTTAGAGATAAAGTGGATAATGATGATGAGTTTAGAGCAACTGATGGTGTCCAACAGATATTAGATCGAATTGTTTGTATAGATGCTGATTATTTCCTGAATGGACCATCTAAGTGTTGCGAGCAATTAAACGCTTTTACAAAAACGGTCTTTAATGCTCGAAGTGAACTATATAAATCTAATCCAAGTATTCAAAATATTATTTCACGATGGTGACGCAAACAATTTAGTATTTACAATGACATTGTTTATGGACATTTAAAAACATTTTGTAGACAAAATTCAATAATCAAAAAATAAATAATTTAATTACTTTTGTTTTGTAATCATTTTCCTATGTGTATATATGTACATACGTAAGCTAAAAATATTCTTTAGGACCTATCTAGATGGTTTGTCTTTCATAACCAATGTTCATGAAATCATTTGGACAAGGTTTGGACATTTACACTAAAAAGACATATTGATAACTTAAATTTTCATTATGGCAAATTAATTAAGTAAAAATGTTTACATCTAATTTTACATATAATTATGTATCTTTTTACAATTTTCAAGCTTCATGAAAGTGTATACATACTTAGATATTCTTGGATATTAAAAAAGGCCTTCTAATTGCTTACGTTGATAATGCTTGCATAATGTCGTAATACAGAGAAGCCTCCCTAAATGCACTTTTAAACTTTGGCCCAAATATATGCTTAACCTCCATAAATGCAATTTTTCTTATTGTTCTCTAAATGTTACACGTCGCGAAATATGTGATCACCGACCCTACTTACTATATAATAATCATTTGCATAACTGGTAATTTTTTTGCTATAGCGCTAGTACTAGATAGTCTGGCGCTGGTGTATCGGTTACACAAACAATTATATAGTAGGATCGGAGATCGGTGTTCACATGTTTAGCGACATTTTTTAACCATCTCTTTGTTACCTAACCGCTTATTAATCGTTTAACCGTTTAACCACTTATTAATCATTTAATAATCAAATAATCATTTAGACGTTTAGCCATTTAACCGTTTATTGCTCATTTTACCAATCTATTATGCATCGCATTACATATAATTACCCGTACTTTTAAAACAAATGAACTTTAAGTCGACACCGCAAGTTTCACAAGTTATCGAATTATCTAAGTTTGTGTGGCCTATTTTTTTAAATAAAAGTTATACTAGTGATACACATTTGTCCTGATCTTTATCATACATATATGCACAATAAATACATGCTATATTTACCATGTGCATATTTGTTTGTCTCCACGCGGGGCATTAAACGATCATTAAACGATTAATCGTATAAAATTTAAAAACGATTAAGCGAATAATTTAACAGTTTTTAATCGTTTATAAAATTTTTTACTTGTTTAACAGTGTAATATAAATAGATAGTTATAGGAATAACGATTTCAATCCCTAGTTTTACTAATATTCCTATTTCGAAAAAATTAATGAATGTTTTTATTTCTTTTTAACTAGTATTTTTTTTATTTGAAAGTTACTTAATACATTATATTTATCAATTGTAATTCCAATTATTAATACCTAATTAAATTAAGAGAACTTCTATTTGTACACTACGTGTATATGTTGTAAGTGGAAACGGAATTTAAGTGGATTCGGAATTTATATATAAAACCTCCGTTTTTTGGGGTTGATTTTATCATATGTACACCCTAACCCTAATCCTAATTTAACTAGGAACTCCAAATCCACTTAAATTCTATTCTCACTTATATATTACACAGATATTGTTATTTCTCAAAATTTTTATTAATAAAGCCACTTTTGGAGTTTTAGCAAAAAAGATTCTTTGCAAAATTTTAGTATAAACTATGTCTTTCTCTAAAATCTAAAACTAACCTTATCCAGATATTACATGGGGTTAAATTTTGTTAATTTGTTAATAGTTATTAATCTATCTACATATATTAAAATCAGTGGGATTTTATGCGGTTCAGCTCACTTCACCGACACTTATTTCGTAGACATAACATTTCACCGACAACAATTCACCGACATGTTATTTACCGACAGGTTAATTCACAAAAACTCATTTCACCAACTGGTCATTGTCGTTAGGGTCAGGCTAGAATTAAAGTTAAGGTTAGTGGAATTTATAAAAAAAATTGGTCTATTAAATGATCTTCGGTGAAATAAATTGTCAGTGAAATAAACTTGTCGGCGAAATAATTGTCGGTGAAATAAACATGTCGGTGAATTTTTGTCGGTGAATGTTATGTCTACTGTAACCGTTGTTGGGAGAGCTTAATAAGATTATGTGGGTAAAGGCCAATTTAACTCCAACGGTGTACGGGGAGATAAAGATAAACTTGGAGAAACGAAGGGAGTCGTTTATAACTGTTGGAGGTCTATTGAGACAATATGACGCTATGATATGAAGGTTTTAATATTAATAGGGTGATGCAACTACAGGTGATGCTGTTAGGGAAATCTCAATAAGGTTGGTGTGGTAAAGGCAAGT